TAAAAGTTCGTGATCGGTCTCAATGCGGCGACGTCACTTCAAGATCTTGAAGATTAAAACAAGTTATTGTCTTTGGTTACAATTTGCTAGTTGATGTGGATATTCGGGTGTACAGTATCATAGATACATCATTGAGCTATGCCCAGCCATGGAGCAAGACGAGGGCGGCTTAAACTTTGTAGCAGCTTCTTGGTCAGCGTGGCCTCCGTGATTCTGTTGCAGGATCAGGTGTGCAATTTTGTGAACACCAACAGCCCGCAAAGAAAAACAAACTTGGTTCACCGTGCCTTCTTTCAGGGGGATGGGTTCCGTCCGGATGAAACCATACCTTTCACCCAGAGCAGCACTAACGATGAAGCGAAGGGAGGAAACCAACGGAAAGGAGGTGCGGATGAGATTGATGAAGATTCGGCTATTTTCAATACCGGCGAGTTCAATCCGTATGAGATCTTGGATGTTTCGCCCTTTGATGAGATTGGTGAGGATGAGCTTCGTGCTGCTTTCCGGAAGCAAGCCAAAATCTACCACCCGGACGTACCCAAAACAGGAGACACGGAGCGTTTCCAGCTTATCAAGCGTGCAGTTGAAGAGCTTGCATCATTGGGAATGGTCGGGGAGTGGAAATCCAAAGTTGCTGAACCCATTAATCGGAAAGAGCGAGGCCAGACCGTGTCTGAGGACTACTGGGAGCTGCGTGGACGTGACTTCTTTGCAGAGCTGGAGACAGAGTTGACAGATGAATTGAAAATGAGGTTCAATGAGTCCGACAAAGACCTTTCTGACGATCAGCTCCGAGGGCGTTTGCAGAAAGAAAACGAGTACTGGGAAGAGTTGCGAGCTCGTCAAGCAGACCAGGATATCCTCGACAGGGTGCAGGACTGGATGGAGAAGAAACGTGAGCAGCGGCGACTCTTATTGCGACAAAGGCTCAGAGGGGTGACGAAGTCCCGAGAACTCGCCATTCCGTCAGAACCGGCTTCGCCAAAGACATTGCGAATTGTAGAACGCCGCATTGCTCAATGGATAGGTCTTCCTGAGAGCATGCTGATAGACATGACGCTTGATGAAATCGGATTCTTCGATCCTTCCAGCTGGGACGATGTTTGTGTTTGCTTAATGTTACTAGAAGAAGATTTCGATGCTGATCTTGTAAATGTATTGGAAAAGAGGGGTGAGAAAGGGAAAATACAATTACCGCAGTGGGTTAAAACGATCTCAGACTTTGCTGACTTCGTGGAGCTGAAGCTTTAGCTTCGGCTTGTTTCACCAGTTTTCCGAGCCAGCAGCGCTCAGACACCGACACGTAACATGTGCTGCTGCAAGAGAGTCTGCTGGCGTGCTTACTGCCCGCATTGAATCAATTGCAAGTGCCTGCCGTACATGTGCACGGCAAGCATTGTCAAACACTGCATGGATGGAAGCTGCTTTCTCAAACAGGGTCACTGCTTGGAGAATAGATTCTCAGGTGAGCTCACCTCTTGACTCCATTCTCTGAGCTACTAGTTGTAGAACAGGAGTACGCGGATGATATGCGATAGCAGCAGCTTGCAGTCAACACAGTCTCACCGAAGATGAGTGCGCCGGCAGGCTCCGGTTGCAAGCTTTTGTCACCAGTCTTCGCTTCCAACATCCTTTTTGCTTGTCGGATGAGGGCCGCAATATGCAGCACCGGCCGCAATAATGTCGTACTGCCCTGATATTGAGACCTTCCATGGAAACGGTGAATGCACTGTTACTAGAACCTTGATCAAGGTCACCACCGGGAATGGCGGGGCAGTACCCGCCTCATGGCATGCCGCCACTGCCGCCGGGGTATGCTGGCATGGGCTACCCAGGCAGGCACAGACTTAAATAGTTCGATACAAGATCATGATGCCGATGGTGGACCTGATGTCCATGCCGATAGTATTTCATGGGTTATTTTTAGGATTGCAAGCGCCAGCAGTTATGATGGTGATGTTTAGGGAAACGATGATTTCGACGATGGTGCTGCAGATGATGGCGGTGATGATGATGATTTCAAAGATGATCATGGTTTCAGTGATGATGTTGGTTAGTAAATGCTTCTTGGAGACGTTGGATGTAGGTAGTTCTCTAAATTAGGGTCCCCAATATAGTACGGCACCCTTATCAAAAGGACCCTAAAAGAGATCCTAATGTAGAAAACTACCCATGTCGTGCCGCGAAGAAGTGACAACTAGTATCATAACAGTTAACAGACAAGCAGGGTCTCATGCTTGGGAGGCATGCCACATGGAATGCCGCCTGGCATGCCCCACGGTATGATGCCGCCACCTCCAGGCTACCCTATGCCACCTGGCTACCCAGGACGGATGTGTTTGGTGACTCCTCCAAGCATCGCACAAAGCTTACGGGTGTTGGAGTTTTCAGGACAACCATATGGGATGCCACACTCAAAGGCCAGAAGCGGAACGGTGGAGCAAGTGTCAGCCTGTGTTGGGGGGTGGATGATGCTTCGTGTTTTGGTGTCTGTGTGCATCATGTGCAGCGGAGTTGGCGCTGTCAACTAACTGAGCCAGAGCAACAGTACAGGACAAAAAAGAGAAGAAGAAAGACAAAGACAAGTCCGCCCCTCACTGGGATCCACACCTTGCACGAAGTTGACCTTCTCTTCGCGTACTGCCAGAAAGAAAAAGAGACGCGAAAGGGACAGCAGCTCAAGCAGCAGCGGCCCTAGCAGGTTCTGTGGTCCGCTCCAGAGGAGTCAGGTGAAGCCGGCTGCATCAAAAGCATCCTGAACGTCCCATCCCAGAGGCAATGCTAGGAAGAATTGATTCCATGTCGCTTACTCTTGGACTTGGCTTTACTTGCCCAGATTGAACCGGATGGCATTTCCCGGAAGGAATGGGTGTGAATGACTGCCATACAACTTCTTCCGAGGCGACAGGCAAAGTGGCAGTAGTGGCGACAAAAAGAAGAAGAGAAAGAAGGCCTTCAGTGACTGGTACACGTCGAGGGTTGGTCATCACCCCCATGCTCTGACCCTGGCTCTGGAAGAACAGGACATGATATGGGCAGGATGGTCTCTTGCACGGGACATGCTTTGCAGACTCACTGCAGGAGAAGGATAAGAAAACGAGGAGAAGGACCGATGACTTGTGGGATAATGCCCAGACCAACTTCATGCGGATGGTGAATATGCACTGAAGTCAAGAATTTGATGATACTGTCGTCGATGAGCTACCCTCTAGCCCAAACTCAGACTTTCCACTGCAGCAACTCTAAGACGAGCGCTCAAGCGTACTCTAGCAGTGCGTTTTGCTACGAAGCTTTTTTTTGACGTTTGCAGCTTGCTGAGCTCCAGGAGCCCAAGCAGGACGCAGGATGATTCTGAAACAGCGGCAGCTTGCCAAGGATTCACTTTGCAGAATGTTGCTGGTACATGCCTCGCCTTGGAAGGCTTTGCAGCGGTCACTGCTTGTCACTGCTTCTCACTGCGTAAAAGGCGCGTGCGCAAGCTGCTTTGCGGGCGGCGGCAGCGGCAGCTGCAGTGGCTGGTGCACGGAGGCCGGGTAAGGACAAGCTGCAGACGCCGCGGCAGGTTCAGCTGTCATGTGCGGATGCCAGAGGCGCAGCGCTTCTCCCCTGGCTGAAGAGACTGCAGGCCTTGACATTGGATGCTTTCTTGTGCCGGGGTCCAACTGCTGACCGGCGGCCCTTGGGGAGGCTCCGGCTCTCGTCCAAAAGAGCTGCCGGAAGTATCTCAGGCCGTCAGAGGTTTCCTTTGAACTGTCCATCTCTTCTGGATCGAGGCCGAAGCCGAGCCCGAGGATCAGGCATTTCTGCAGTAGTGTTGTGCCAAAACGTCACGCCCCATGCCTCTCCACAATCAATGTTTCGAGAAATCTTGAGCAACTTTACCTGGGCGTGTAGTGCGATGGTTTGCAAGCGTTCCCATACCATGGCACTAATGTGCATTGTACTTGCAACTTGCAGCATCAACAAGCAAGTAGGCAAGGAAAGGTCATCACTCTGTGTGATTTCCCAGTCCAAGCTGCAGCTTGCCAGCTGCATCCTTGATTCAGAAAGGAAGTGGGAACTGTCTAGCAGAACTAGGTGAGCACAGAAATTACTTTGCTTGGCACATACGTGCCAAAATCTCGAAGCCTTCCAGGAACTCAAGGCTCGTTAACGTGGTCGTGTAGTTTCTCTATCTCTCTACCCAAGATCCGACAGTAGCAGATGCACAGATATGTGACCCTCACCGAGTTGACAGACAGCACAAAGGTATTGTCAAGAGCACATCTTCATAGTCTCCCGGTCAACATGTCGACGTGCCAGGACCTGGCAAATCGTTCCCGGGGCTTCATGAGGCTGGGGCGCTGCCAGCGGGCTCAGAGGAAAGCGTGTCGGTGCTTTGGCTTGCCTGCCAGGCCTGAGAAGATCGAAATCCTCCAACTTCCGAAGTCGGTGATTGGAAGGGTCATCGGGAAGGCGAGCACTGGCAGCACGTTGTTGGCAGTGTGGGGCACCGCCATGGGAGGCCGGGGCAACCATCAAAGATATCCGCGAGCGCACAGGCCGTTCCCGCAGTAACCGCCGCTCGCTGTCGGCTCTTCTGGAGTCGTGTCCTTCTCCTCGAGGTGCTCGGATCGATGCGCGCGACCAAACCGAGGACCCGGTTCAGGCATAGCTTCTCAGCGAGCTGGTTTTGGGGAAGTCTTTTTTTTGGTTTGGGGCGGGGTGGCCCCAGTTTGGGGAACTCAGGTGCTCCTCAGCGGCACCTTGGAAGCCTGCGAGCATGCCAAGGACGGAGTCGACAAGATTTGCAATCAGGTCAACTAGAACTGCGAGCGGCGGCGTGTGTTCACAGTTGTCGAGTGGGGCTTGCAAGTATCCGAGATCAAGGGATCAAGGGAGCTACATGTTGTCGGGTGTGAGATCGTACTGTGCCATTTGATCGAGCTCTGCTTCTGCCATTCGGCGAACTGGCAGGTCGGTTGATCAGCCGTCGTTTTCGTCTGCATCTGCTCTTTCGGTCAGCCAGTCGCTTCATCATGTCGCGCGCACCTGGCCTGCGTAGCGCTCGCGGCGGCCATGTTCTCAAAGGATGCATTTGGGTAGAGGGTCGGGACCTGGGGCACAAGAGGTCGTCGGCCAGCTGGTGGTACCACTCTTGCGCACCTCTCCTTTGGCCGGGCAAGACACGCCCAAGCTTCCAAGTCTTGGTCACACCAAACTTGTTGTTCACGTAGGAGCGCGGGGCCGTCACTACCGTCCTTAACGTCCATAATGTAGATCGGTGCCCCCCACTTCTGCGCCAGGAGCGGCACCAGCCACGCCAATGTGGCCACACTCGCCGGGCTGAAGGTGTCCTCCTCAAGCAAACCACTGCCTGTCCACAAGCCTGGCCCTCCCAAACCACCCATTGGGTCGCTTCTTCCACGTCTTCACGAACCCGGTACTCAAGCACCTCCATACCTTCTAGCCGGGTGAGCTCCTCAATCTCCGCCTGGTCGTCGAGCTCGGCGAGGTCCTCGGGGCTTAGCTCAGTGCTTTCCCAGGCCTCGTGCCATGCGGCGTCCATCTCAGCATCTGGCTCGTCTCTTGCACGGGTTTTCAGCAGTGCCATCATCCCCGGGCTCACCGCTACTCTCTTCAGCTTCGCGTTTTGATGCTGGGCTGTCACCGTGGTCCCGGTTGCTTGCTTTCAGCTCGGCCTAGGCGAAGGAGAAGACGACAAAGAAGGCGAGAACGAACGGCTGCGAGACGGGCTCAAGGGGGCGACCGTCTTGGGGTCGGCCGGCCTCAGGTCGTCTGAGCAGTCCGTGTCTGTGCCCTTTTTGCGGGCTGCCCCGGCAACGGCAATGGCCTCATCATTTTCAGGTAGAAGAGGGTGACCAGCGGGAGCACGAAGCGGCTCTTTCGTCGCCTCAGTCGCCTCGGCGCCTCCACGTGGTCCTTACTCCAGCGCCACCCGGTGCTGCACAGGTCGTCGACTTCTTGTGCTGCAAGCTGCTGCTCGGCAGTGGCTCGGCGCAGGCTCTCGCTCTGGATGTGGCCGTAGGTTGTCATCTCACCCTGATGGGTCCGGAAAACCGCCGCCATGGGCCAACTCGTAGGGGGTCTGCAGCACGCCCGGCATCACATTGTACAAGAAAGCTCCATGCACCTGCGCCCACAGCGAAGGTCCCGGCCTTGGGCTCGGCGTGGCAAAGGTCCCAAGCCGCCTCACCGTCTGCTCGGCTCCTCCATTGCTCTGGCTCCCACCACCGTGGTGCTGCACTGGCCTCGCGGCCCTGACCGCCTTGATGGGCTGCCCGTCGGATTGCAGGATGGTGGCCTCCTTGCCGTGCAAAGAGATGGTGAGCCTGGTGACTTCCTCTGCGGCCCGGGCGAGCATCATTGCTCCTTTGTTGGGCCCGGGGCGGACAGCACCATCTTGGTCTCAGAGTCCACTCCAATCAAACAACAGGCCCTGTCCCGCGGGCCTGGCATGGTCGTCGAGGGAGGTGAAGTAGAAGTCGATCCGCACCACCGGCACCCTGGTCTCGCGATTCGCACCAGCAGACTGTGCATCGCCTCGGCTGCGCGTTGCCACGCAACCCTCACACCATCTTCGAAAAGGCACGTGGGTAAGATTGTGCGCTGCTACCTCCTCGGCGCTTGGCGGACCGTCGGGCTGTGATCTCGGCAGTGCGTCCCTGCGGTCGATTTCCTGGAGCTGCTGGGCCACGCTGTTGGCAACATAGGCTTCAAGCTCGTCCTGCTCCAGACCAGGTGGCACCCTGCCCTGCTCATCTACATCGTGTTGAGGACCATGGTGTTCTGCGGGTTCTCGTCCTTGGTGTTCTGCGTCTCGTCCCTGGTGTTCTGTGGATTCTCGTTCTCGGTGTTCTGCGTCTCGCTGCACTGCTCGAGGCTGGCCGGGGCTCAACCTTAGCAGCTCCTCGCTTGGCTTTGGTGGCACCCCGCTCTCTGGGAAGAAGTCCACAGAAAACGGCGAGGACGAAACCATTGCAATTCGGGGCTTCGGCTGCCTGCTGGCAAGAGTGAACGGATTGGGCTGATTGACGTAGTCTGCGCTGTTCTCCACCTGCAGCCACTGCCCAGACACGCTTTGGAAGCGCATGGTCCCTGCTTTGAAGAAATTCGCGTCGTACCAGGGTCGGGCATCTAGAAGGTGACTGGCTGGCTGGGGCTGTACAGTGAAACATGGTCCCGTCGACCAGCACATGCATGCCCTCGCGTCCGACAGGCTGCTGCATCTCCTCGGTCAACGTCACTCTGGGCACCCGCGGCGGCAAAGTCCTCGGCACCTCGGTTCGTTCTTGAGCCAAAAGTTGCTCACGAAGCTTCGCGTAAATGGTCTCCATGTTGAGGCTCATGTGAAGTTACACCTGAAGAGCAGCAGGAGCTGCTTGCACAAGCGTCGTTATTTTGAGGTCCTCGGAGAACTTCAGAGAGGAGATCCGCTCATACTCGGCAATCGTAGCGCGTCACCTGCTCCGAGAGCGACTTCGCGGGGTCGCAGCGGGCCGCGGAAAGTTGGGCCATCAGCGCCAGTTGGCGCTGTCGGCTGCTAGGCTGCATCTCCAAAGTGAGGTTGCGCCACGCTTCATAGCCGTTTTGGTCCAGAATCCCGCGGGCAATGTTGGCTGGGCGCCCTTGCATGACGGAAACCAAAATGGAACACAGTTCCCTTGCCCACCGCTTTGTGTCATCTGCCATCGTAGAAATCGAAGAAGGCCTGGAAGGGTCGCCCTCGATGGTGTCCATCTCCTGCACGTACTTCGCGTCCGAGGAGGTAGTTCTTGAGTCCCATGCTTCCAGTCGGACCAGGCCTCTATCTCCTGATCCTTCGTCGTGGGCTTGCTGACGTTCGGCTTCTGCACCAACGTCCGGAGCAAGTCTGTCCTGCGGAAGGCCTCGGTGGTGTTCAAAACCGCCGCTGCGGCTCGAGAAGCAGCCTCAGCCGCCATGGTTGCGCCGGTCGCTGACAACGGCCGCCTGCCCAAAGCCAAACGCCAACAACCAGCCACAACTTACCCTCTGGGTGAAGTCGCAGCGCCCAGCGTGCAATCAGCCCGCTGCCCCAAAGGCAGCTCCAGGAAGCGTCTCGCCCGGCCCTTGGCCGGAAAGGAGAGCACACAGCACGCGGGAGGCAGATGCTGCACAAGGCGGGCTCACACTACAGGCAGCGAGGGCAGCTATGGAGGCACCTGGTCTTCCAGGTGCTCTGCTACCATGAAAAACAATTAGAAGACATGTGGCCCGAAAACATC